TCACTAGAAAATAGTAGGACAAGGTTAAATGTGAATGAGATAAAGGCAAATTGATGGCCAAAGAGATGGCCGCTTGGGAGGAGTGCTTGTGTTAGGATGGCTAGAAAAAATCTCCTTGAAAAGAAGTGTGAAACTGAACTTGAATTATGTTTGTTTGTTTAAATGACTGGAGAGACGGTTCAGTGGTTAAAAGGAATCTAACACCCTCTTCTGGCCTCTGAAGATATCTGAATACATGTAACATATACATACAGACACATGCACACACACACACACACGTAAATAAATAAAAACAAATATGTACTTTTAAAGCCAGTCGGTTATGCTAAAACTGGTATAGAATGCAGGACCTCTATACCACAAATTCAGTGTCCCTGTTGGCTGTGTGTATGTTGGGGGTAGAATGTAGCTCAGTGGTAGAGATCTTAATTAACATGTAATTAATTAACATGAGTAAAAGGTTCAATTACCAGAACTGCCACCATCCCCCCCAAAAAACACAGTCAAGCACATCCTTGTCACTTGGCTTTTGGGGGATCAAGGGGGCCTAAGACAGAGTTTCTCTGTGTAGCCTGGATATCCTGAGTTTGGAATCTTTAAGAACAGAAAGAAAGGGCTGGAGATGCCTCATCAGTTAAAAGTGCTTGCTGCTCTTCCAGAGAACCTGGGTTCTATTCCCAGCACCAACACCAGATTACCCACAACTACCTATAACTCCAGTTCCAGGAGACTCAACACTCTGGCCCCTGAGGGCACCGCATACATGTGATACACACAAATTCATGTGGGCACACAGACACACACACACACACACACACACAGCTACACATAAAAATAAACTGTCCTGTGTGGTGATGTACAACTTTAATCCCAGTACTGAGTTGCGAAGGTGGGAGAATCTCTGTGAGTCCAGGCCAGCCTGGTCTACAAAACAAGCTCTAGGACAACCAGAGCTACACAGGGAGACCCTGTCTCTAATAAATAATTAACAAATACATAAATAAACACATAAGTAAATAATGTTTTAAAGACCATAGAGAGATGATAAGAACATAAAGAGATCATAAAGAACATAACTGAGGGGTTCACAAATCCACATACTGTATAATGATATGAAAAGGGGTCAGAAAGATGATGGAAGACATAGAGTCACATGACGGCCAGATGGGTAGAAAATGGATATGGATGGATCGGAGGATAGTTAAAGATAAATAGGTGGAAGAATGGGAGGATGGATACATAAATACATGGGTGGATGCATGGGTGAATATAATATAGAGCGTGTCAAATTTTGAATGGTTAGAAACCCAAATCCATTTTTGACCACTAGATGGAAGTCAAATATTTTCTATTTGTTACATGGGTGCTCTGTCTTTTTTTCTATTGCCGTTTATTTCTGTATATGTGTGTGTGTAGGTGCATGTGCCTCGTGAGACAGAAGAGAAGGATCGGTTCCCCCCAGAGTTAGAGTAACAGGCAGTGGCGAGCAGTCAGACATGGGTGCTGGGAACCAAACTCCCATCCTCCAGAAGAGCAGAAAGATCTGGTAAGCTTCAGCTCCCCGATGCCTCTTTCTAGTGATATAAGCTTAAAGGCATTCGTATTTTTCACTGAAAAATAGACAGGCTTTTGATTCCACAGAGTAGCATAGCTCTTTCTGGCCAGGGTGGCTGCAGACTTTGCAGAAACTGCTGTGCAAAGCTGTTAGCACCTTTGGTTCAGGCATGAATGGGGCAGGTCTACTAGAGAATCCAAATCCCCCAGCTGCTGTCTCAGAAGCAAGCAGCTTCCTCCCTTTCACGGTGCTGAATATACAACCAAAGTTATCACAACCTCTGTGGGTCTCAATGAAGAAACAGGAGGTATAGCTTCAAGGTGAGAATCTTCTGTCTTAACAAAGGATGCTAAGGTCAGACTACGCCCTGCTCTAACTTACTCCATGGTGTGTAAGACAGTGATTTTTCAGTCTGCCCTAGGAGACACTGTTTTACAAAGAGCTTTGGGCTCTATTTAGGGAGAAGGGATGTAGCAAGAAAAGAAAACTGAGGAGGTTCAATGCTGAGCTGATGGGGACAGGTTTGTTTTGGAATAAACCTGAGAAGGCCTTTTATTGGAGAAGGAGATTGAGAAAGAGAACTTCTCTTACAGGTGAGGAGTTTTATCAGCACTGGGGATGAGGGCTGCCAAAAGGATCGAGGTCTGGTTTGGTCAGGCAGTGTTAATGGTTAAACTAGAATGTGCAGGAATGATGTTAGCAATGTTGACTTCAGGAAATGAAAACTTTGTTACAGGAGGGGGCTGCTGTTCATGCTGGATAGTGGTGGGGGAGGGCACTGTTCAGGCTGGAATTGAGTTTCCTCTCAAGGATGAGTGTAGCCAAAGATGGACCCACAAACCTCGCCATGTCCCAGACACCAACCATGCAACACAAACTTATTAAATGGTTTATTTCTGGGAGTAGAACCAAACTATAAGTTTGTCAGGGGGAAATAAGGTGATGGGGGAACATGAATATTTTAAAATCGTATCTGTGAAACCAGGCCCAAGAACTTATTGGCCACAGCAGACTAAGGAAAGCATGTAACTCCCTGGACCCCATATATTGGCAGACACCTTACACTAAGATGGCATGGCATGGCCCACCAACCTGACACCCAGTGTGCGCAGAGGACCAACCGTTAGAAAACATTAGTCTGTCCCTGGGGCTTCAGGCCTGCTTGATCCCCTGCTGCCCACTGGACTGCCTGCTGGACCTGAACACACACACACACACACACACACACACACACACACACACACACACACACACACACAACTCCTGCTCCTACCCGTTTCCACTCTCTCCTAGACTCCACCCGGAAGCCTGTCTTTCACCCAGGATCCTCCCTCGGGCCACAGCAGAAGCTTCATGTCAGGGTTGGTCAGTCTCAGGGCTCTTATCTAAACAGACTCTATTGACATTCCTAGCAGCCCACTTCTAAGGCCTTCGCACTCCACCTTAGCCTCTTTAACTGGTATTCAGGCCGTGAGACACATAATAGGCACCTATAGAAAGCTAAATTTAGCCGGGCGGTGGTGGCGCACGTCTTTAATCCCAGCACTCGGGAGGCAGAGGCAGGAGGATCCCTGTGAGTTCGAGACCAGCCTGGTCTACAAGAGCTAGTTCCAGGACAGCCTCCGAAGCCACAGAGAAACCCTGTCTCAAAAAATAACCAAAAAAGAAAGGAAGAAAGAAAGAAAGAAAGAAAGAAAGAAAGAAAGAGCCAAATTTATCATGTGCAATGTGATGGAAGAATTAAAATTGGAATCAAAGTTCGAGGCCAGCCCAGTCTACAGAATGAATGCCAGGATAGGCTCTAAACCTGACTGGGGGGAATAAAAAAAAAAAAGATTGGAATCAAAGCCAGATATTCCAAAATAGGCAGATTGTCTGAGAAACTTCTGCTGCAGAGCCTCCTGAGGTGCAGAGGGTGAGTCACTTCCCAGGTCTTCAGATTCCTCTGCATTTCATTGCGGGGGGGGGGCTCCAGTCTTTAAGCCGTGAGTGGATCTTCTGGCGATCAGTGAACGTGAGCCTGGCCCTGGGTAGAGCCTCAATCACACGCTTCTCATTCTACAACTTGGTGAAAAGAACATGATATCTAGACAATGTGAACCTTTGCCTCTGTGCTTTGAAGCACATGGACACTAGGCTTCTCTACACTGTTCCAGTTTTAGTATCTGTGCTGCCAAAGGCAGCACAATAGGTAATTTCTCACGGCAGCCACCTAGCCACTACCACTAATGTGTTACCGTCAGAAAACATTTTCTAAGGTGTCCAACCCTTCAGTATCCAGTTGTTTAGGTGAAATTATTTAATCTCTCTGCCATAAATTTTCATTTTTATCTTACTTTTTGAGACAGGATCTTACTGTGTAGCCCTGACTGGACTAGAACTGGTTATATAAGCTAGGCTGGCCTTGAACTCACAAAGATTCACTTGCCTCTTCTTCCTAAATACAGGGACAAAAGTGTGAGCCATCATGCCTGGCATGCAACTTCTTAACAATTTTAAATACTGACAGATCTGGAGTTTGATATGGTTCATGTCTCTTATTTTGCAAATTGTTAAATTCTAACGACATTTTCACCTCTTTGGCCAAATCCCCTCCTTTTCCTGTTAAGAAAATAGGCTGACTAACCACATATATGTATGGTGAGTTATCCAGGTCAAAGTTGGAAAGCAGATACAATAATCACAAGAGCGACTGTTCAATTTCCTTATTGTAAAATCTTATTTACTAATGAGGTTGGTTCAAGCCTGTAACACTTGATTAATAGCAGAATCCAGATCTCATTATCAGTCTACCACTGTGGATCTTGTCTGCCAAGCTGTCGTTCATGTCCATTTGATTTAAAAGCAAAGCGCAAGCGCAAGCGCACACACACACACACACACACACACACACACACACACACACACACACACACACACACACACCACTTCTGACTGACTCATCTGTCCTAGTTTCTTCAGCAGCCCTTTTCAGGCATGTTCATGGCTATCCTGGAACTTGCTCTGTAAACTGGGCTACCCTCAAACTCTGAGATCTGTCTTCCTCTGCCTTCCCAAGTGTTGGGATTAAAGGCAGGAGCCACCACCGTCCAGCTATGGGGCCTATTTCGAGGTCAGCATGGGCAACAAGAGGCCTTGTCTGGGAAACAGCATCAAAAACAACAAATAAAACTCCAACAGTGAGATTTTTGCCTCAAAGAGGAAAAAAATAGTCATGAAATGGAAGTTCAAAGAGGAAGTTGTGTCACAAAGAGCAAGGGGGTTGTCAGAACGCTAAACTAAGGCGCATCCCAAGTGCCGGGAAGCAGAAAGCTCAAAAGTAACTATCAAGTCCTCCCGGCTGGGGATCGCCTACGTTTCTGGAGAGATACTCAAGGAAAGCTAGCCCGAGCGAGCACGAGCAGGTAGGGCAGCGGCCGCAGGGAGCAGCGCGAGAGCGCCAGCCAGGCCAGCCGCGGGTCACGTGACCGGCCAACATGGCCGCCCGCGGAGACTGCCGCCGGGAGGGGCAGGAGTCGGAGCCCGAGCCGGAGCCGGGGCCGCAGCCGGGGCCCGAGGCAGGCCTAGAGTCGGGGGAAGAGTTCGAGATCGTGGACAGGAGCCAGCTGCCGAGCCACGGCGAGCTGCGGAGTGCGGCGCGGCCTCGGGCAGCTGACGGCTGGTCGGCGCCCATCCTGACGCTGGCGCGCAGAGCCACCGGGAACCTGTCGGCGAGCTGCGGGAGCGCGCTGCGCGCGGCCGCGGGGCTCGGAGACGGCGGCGGTGGCGGCGGCGGGGAGCGCGCAGGTAGGCCGGGGTCCCGCGGGCTGGGGCTGCTCCAGGGCTGGGGGAGAACTGGACGGGCTGCTCCGCCGGTCTGTTCCGCGCCGGTACGACCCAGCCGGAGAAGCGCGAGACAGGGTGTCTGCGGCCGGGGACTGCCCTCCCACCTGGTGTTTGTCTTTGTGAACCCCAGAACAGAGGCGTCGTGATCGCGGATTGACTTTAAATAAAAGGATTAGATAAGAGGCTCAGACGGAAAGTCATCTGTGTTTATGTTTTGCATAGTTGAGAAATGAAATCTGGTTCTGGTCCCCTGTTAACACTCTCTGCCACTAGCTGGTTGTGCACCTGCGACCGAGGTTGATAGCATATTCCAAAGTTGGGGAGAGCGGCGACTCAAGAGTCAGGAGGTTTTGGTTCCCTTTTTATACTCCACCACTAACCGTGGGACGTCAACAAGCATCACCCCTCCTACTAGGATTTCTCAACCTTTAAAATGGGGATTTTTTTTTAACTACCTTGTAAAGCCGGTTCAGCTCTTATGATCTAGATTAGAATTTAAGCATACCAGTAAAAACAATGATTTTTTAGTTTTTACTTCTGGCCATGGTGATGCAGGTGTGCCTGCACAGCATGTTAATGTACTCAGTGCTGTGCTAATTTTAATGCAGTGGTGTTTGTGTTTCTAAACCTATCAAAAAATACAATATAAAAGATAGCCATGGTTTCCAGCGTTGTGTTACTGTCCTTTAATCCCAGAACTTAGGAGGCAAAGGCAGGTGGATCTCTGTGAGCTTAAGAGCCTGCTGCTTTACATAGTGAGCCCCTTTCTCAAAATAAAAAAATAAATAAGGATGCCTCACTTTGGCTAGGGCACTTACTGTGAAAGGACCATGCAGACTTCAAGTTGCTGTGGTATAGTGAGTGTTGACTATAAATGCCTGAGACATCAGTGCGTACAGTAAACTTTGTTACTCGGAGTTTACTTAAAAACAAACAAAAACACTTCTTGGTAATAAGTTAACCTTGGTTTACTGTAACTTTTCTGCTTTATAACCTTTACTTTTTTGTGTGTATATAGGCTCATAGGTGTTTGTGCATGTTTGTACACTTGAAGACCAGAGGTCCGTGTTGAGTATCTCCCTCAACTGTTTAATCCACCTTATTTTTGACACAAGGTCTCTCACTAAACCTGGAGCTCACCAGTTGGCCACACTGTCCAACGAGACCCTTCCATTTCTGCTCTCCCGGCACTAGGAATACTATTGGATGCTGCCATGCCCAGTGGTTAATGATGGGGCCCTGAACTCAGGTCTTCATGTTTGCAAGGCAGTCACTTTTTCATCTCTCTCATCCTGCTATTTTTTACTTTTTTATTACCATGCATGCCACGGTGTACCTGTGGAGATCAGAGGATGCCTTTCAGGACTCAGTTCTCTCCTACTGTGTGAGTAGGTCACCAGCCTTGTCAACAAGTGCCTTCACCCTCTGAGCCATCCACCAGCCCTGCATGTATGACTGCATGCCAGAAGAAGGCATCAGATCTCATTATATATGGTTATGACCCACCATGTGATTGCTGGGAATTGAACTCAGGACCTCTGGAAGAGCAGCCAGTGCTCTTAACCTCTGAGCTATCACTCCAACCCAACTTTTTGATTCTTATAACACAGCTTAAAACACATACACACACACATTATATACCTAATCAAAAATATTTTCTGCTGGATGGTGGTAACACATGCACTTGGGAGGCAGAGGCAGAGGCAGGTGGATCTATGTGAGTTTGAGGCCAGCCTGGTCTACAGAGTGAGTGCCAGGACAGCCTCCAAAGTTACACAGAGAAACGCTGTCTTGAAAAACAATAACAACAAAAAAATGTTTTTTCCTTCTTTATATCCGTATCTTATCATTTGTCTATTTAAAGTTGTTTTGGTTTTAGTTTTTACTTAAGCCTTTTGTCTAAGGGCAAAGATACATAGAGAACAGAAAACAGTCCCCAAATCTCAGGAAACTTGGGGTAAGACTAGAAAGGGGCTGGTTAACGAATTCAGGGTAGAATTGGATAGGAGGGATGGTTACTGGAGTTCTGCAACATAGAATAGCTAAGATCTGCAACAACTAGTAAATATTTTCTAACAGCTAATGGAGGTATTTTAAATGTTCCCAACACCGAGAAAAGGAAACGTGGTGAATATGCCAATCTCTCTGATGATCATTACTTATATACATAAATAAAATGTCAGTGTGTCCCTTAAATATGTACAATTACTGTTGCAGTTTAAAATATAGGTTGGCAAGATGGCTCAGTGGGTAAAAATGCTTGCCTGCAAGTTTGATGGCTTGAGTTTAACCCCCAGGACCCACAGAGTAGGAGGAGAAACTCTTAGAAGTTGATCTCTGCTCACTGTATGTGTGCCGTGGCATACACCCTTACTATCCCCCAATGCACTAAATAGATAAAATACATACGTGTATATTTTAACTAAGATACATTAGCTCAGGCCTCAAAGGTCAGGATCGTAACTATCACTCTTCTGCCTCCGCCTCTTGTCCCACTGGAAAACCTTTAGGAAACAACACACACAGAGCCCTCACTTGTGTTAGTAACGTCTTCTTCTAAAACATGCTCCCCACCCTATGGGTAACATTTGTCAATCCCACCAAATGAGAATAAAAACCATTACCCAAATTCTTCGTTCAAATTAAGCAAGCTTTATTTTCTGTCAAATAGGCTATCTCCCTAAAGTGGAGTTTGAGGAAATAGCATAGGGCTATCTCCCTAAAGTGGAGTTTGAGGAAATAGCATCAAACGTAGGAGAAAGTAGGGTTTATATTAGCCCCAAAACTGCAAGGCTAGGGGGTTTCCAAGGGTTTTTGGTTATGTAGGAACTTGGTAGCAGATCTCAAGATTATTTGGCAGAACATCCCAGGGTGGAGATCAGGGTATAGGGTGTGGAACGTGTAAAATTCCAGAAAATAGGTCAAGACATGGTCAAACCCAAGGTTTACAGAAAATAAGAGTGAACTTATTTGACCTAGTAACAAGATGGTTTTTAATCTTAAAATGAGTTAAGCTGGTCCATCACATTTCACAATAAATGTAGAAGGAGTATATACTGCAATAATGATAAAAGGCATAATATAGTGAGCACATGTAACTATGACTTATCCCTACCAGATGTTTATTAAGCTCCTTGACTGTGTGGACTGTACTCTGCACCTCAGGCAGTACAGCAGGTTTGTTTACAAGGCTGTCCCACAGTGCATGAGGAATGCAGTTTTGCAACAGTGTTGTTTTTTTATATCGGCTGCAGGGCAGTTACACCTGATCCTACTGGCCACCTCAGCTGTTGACATCTGCGGGGCAGCCTCTGCCCTCGTTGCTGAGGCTGCAGGCCAGGGGACTCTTCCCATCCGGCCACTGCTTCAGCCACCTCCCTGTAGGAAGGCAAATGTTGTTTTAACCAAGTCTCTGTCCTTTCATTTTATCCCAAATGCTGGGGTAAAAAATTGCTAGCTCAGAGAGGCAGAGAAAGCAGCCAGGTGACGGAAGAGAGACCCCTCTCCTCTCTGTCTGAACACGAAGCTCCTCCGGCCAGATGCCCCTCCCTTCTACTTCTTGTGCCTCTCCTTCTCCGACCTCCCAACTTTCCCTGCACATCCTACGATTTCTTCCAATCAACTGGTTGCTTGCTCTGCCTCTCGACCTATGGTTGATTTTATTTAATGCAATCTCGGGATTCACAGTGTGATCAAATATCCTGCAACACAACTGAGATGAGGTCATAGGCCATGGGAATTCTTCTGTTCTCTTGTAGTCTTGTACTTGATCAGTCATTGACGGAAGCATTGTTATACACCTCATGCTGTTCATTGATAGATAAAATGTACCTGTGCCTCTCCAGACTCACAGATAATTAATATCTGATGAATGGGTGTATATCTGGAAAGGCCCTGTTTTCCTTTTAGGGTCATGACATAAAGTGTAGATAACACTTAACTGTGTGCTTACTGAATGCCACAATAGTGTTAGAGCTTTGTTTACTCCAGTTCCACAGAAAGCCTGGATGGTGATAGGGCTGGTTTCATGGGTGTGGATTCAGTGCAGCCTCTGTGGTCAAAGGGCAAGATGTACAGAAGCCCCATGCTGGAGTTGATGATATTTTTTTCAGTGAGATGTCGTGTCTCACTCCTGTAATCCTAGCACTAAAGAGACTGAGGCAGGAGAATTACTGTAAGTTTGAGACTAGCTTGGCCTACATAGTGAGACTCCTGCCATTACCCCACCCCAAAAAAGAATTATACAATAATATTTTTCCTTGAATTGGGAGGGGGGTTAATTAATTTTTTTCATGGGTATATATATGTATGTGCCTGGGCAAATTCATGTTCACACTATAAGTGTAGGTACTTGCAGAGGCCAGAAGAGGGCATCAGATCTCCTGGAGCTGACACAAGGTGCCTTATTCAAGTACTGGGAACTCAGATCCACTGAAAGACCAGCACACATTCTTAATTAATGAACCAGATCTCCAGCTCTGAATGAAATGTATTTTATAATGACGTGTCCTGGGTGAAAAGAGAAAAAAAGAAAGAATCGTACAGTGAGTACCTTTTGATGGGCCCTGCCAAGGTGCAAGAGAATTAGTGCACGAGGTTTGTTGGGGAAGGGAGAGAGGGAGAGACAAGAAAAGCAAGAGAGGAAAGAAGAGGCGAGAGAGAGAGAGAAGAGAGAACTGTACCTGATGGGCACTGAAGGGTTGCACATGTGGCATAGCTGACGGTGGAAAGGCACCTGGTGACACGTGGGGCAGCGGCTGGGGCAGGCAGCTGCTGTGTTGCGAGCCAACACTGGGCAGGGAGCCAAGCTCCTGTGGGATCCCTGAAGCCTTCTCAAAAGCTGGGAAACTTCCCCCAACACTACAACACTCAACTCCACTGTGGCCAGGAATGGCCACTGGGATGGGTCTCAAAAAAAGAAAGAGAGAGGGAGGGGGAGAGAGAGGGAGAGAGAGAGAGAG